TAGTCCGTAAACTGCACACGTGCTGGGCTGTGATTGGCTCATGTATTTAAGTGACTCATACAACACGGAATTTATATAATACGGAACGTATCTACCGTGTTATAGGGGGTCTACTGTACTTTCTTTATTCCATTTTTGACTTGTTCTGCCCCACAGGCATTAAATGGGTCTTTTTCTCCCTACCCATCAGAGGTTCAGTCAAATCCAAAATGAGAATGACTAGGTGGGGAGGGACAAAATCTAAACAGAAGGGACAGACCACCTCCAAAAAATTTCAAAAATTTTTCATCCCCGATTCAATTCTGAGTCCTTCAAGTAGTAGGTTAATGTATTAACAGCCTCAGCCATTGAGCTGCTTATGATTATAGCTAAATCAATAATATCTTAAAGTATGTTTAGATATACATCCATAAATTATTTACAATAGATATAATATGTGTTTGTTGATTAAAAATTTATATATACAAATTAAAAACAATGGAATNGACTTGTTCTGCCCCACAGGCATTAAATGGGTCTTTTTCTCCCTACCCATCAGAGGTTCAGTCAAATCCAAAATGAGAATGACTAGGTGGGGAGGGACAAAATCTAAACAGAAGGGACAGACCACCTCCAAAAAATTTCAAAAATTTTTCATCCCCGATTCAATTCTGAGTCCTTCAAGTAGTAGGTTAATGTATTAACAGCCTCAGCCATTGAGCTGCTTATGATTATAGCTAAATCAATAATATCTTAAAGTATGTTTAGATATACATCCATAAATTATTTACAATAGATATAATATGTGTTTGTTGATTAAAAATTTATATATACTTATATAAGATGATTCAAAACTTAGTAAATTCAATTAACTTTCTTATAACCTGCTTAACTGATTTTTGAACCATTCTAAATAACAATGATCATAAAATTAACAAAGTTGTCATTTAATTTTTTATGGTATGACGTATCATTTCTGTGTATGCAGACTAAGAAGCTCTTCAGAAGTTATTTCAGTAATTTTACAATAACTGAATTTATAATATAAAGTAACTTAAATCTTAAAATACTTACACAGTTCGTGGACCATTTAATGCTGCAACAGCAGGTCCAAAAGTCCTTTGCAGTGTGTGATTAAATAATGGAGATTTAATGTGATAATTTATAGCGTCGATTAACGGTTGGCAAATATTCTGCTCTGGTGGCTTAGACGGTCCCACAATAGACTGATTACTGGTGGCGGCAGATGATTCTGACTGAAATAGATCACCATCAAATAAAAATTCCTATAACCACATGCTGTACTAATTCTAAATTATTTACCGCCGTTACTTTAAATTCCAGTCTCTCTAAAACTTGCTCACACTTCAGTAAAATGTCCATTGAACATCTGAAATTATAAAAAACAAAATAATTGTTAATACATGAGTAAATGTTCCATATTTGATTAAATTTTTATGTATAATTGGAAAAAGCAACAGGTATTTGCATTCTTAAACTCTAAATTCATAATTTTTATATTTATATTTTACATTTTTATGGATAATGCTTTTCATTATAGGAAAGTTTTATATGTTATTATTTACAAAAAATTTACATTAGGTAAAAAAAATCATATTTATATACAGAATAATTAACTATATTTAGTTTAAACTTAATAATAATAATAATAATAATAAATTGCAATTTACATAAATCATAATAATAAACAATTTGTTTAAAAGATAAATAATATTAAACTGAAATAATTAAAAAGCTCTTTTGCTCAAATATAACTTGATCTTCTTCAGTTGATGCTGTTTCCAAATGAATCAAATTGAAAATTCAAATGCTTAGGTTCAGACAATTAAAATGTTCTTCATGACAGTGCTTTTAATTAATTACTTTATTTCAATATTGTTTATCCTTTAAAAGAATTGTTTACTATCCTGGATTATATAAACTGTGTTTTTTGTGTTGATTCTCTGCAAGATGAAGTTAATTTAGTATTTACTAATTATAATCTTCATTTACCTAATTTTAAGATAAAATGCTTTTCTAAAACAAAAATGAAATAAATGAGAAGTTTTATAAATAATATTGCTAGTGTTTTATTTATAGTTATAAATTTATATGCTTGAAAAATATTTAAGTAATTTATAAATAATTATAATGTATTCTAGAATTTATTAAAATAATATATGCAAATTTGTTCAAACAAATATTACCAAATATGTAATTTGTCAATTACAATAAACAGAACAGTATCCAGATGGCCAAAGTATTAAGGACACCATCCTACCAATCCAAAGAATCTAGTCATATACAAAGATTATTCTCTATATAATCAGGTCAAATCACAAAGTTGTGTATATATATCACATCCTCACTACTTAAGTCACCCAGTGCAAGCCTATACAAATCCAAGATAATTATTCCTTTTGCATAAACATCTTATTACTCAAAACAAAGTTTTAAAATATAAAATTTATTTTCTTTAATTGGGCTGCAATTTGAAAAAATTGTAGACCTATAAATTCCTACTGTCGTCTGTCCATCCATCTTTCCTTAATCTCAAGAACAAAGTTAGATAGATTAAAGACGAGATCAAATATGGAAACTTAAGGAACAAGAGGCCCTAATTAACTATATATGAACTTCCAATACAAACAGGAAGTCATGTTATTTCTATTCAAAAATTTTCCCCTGAAAGGTGTTAGACCAAGGGTTGCCAAACTTTTTGGAATACTTTATCACATGAACACTGATATTTCTGACTTATAAATAATATCTTTCCTTTTCATATAATCTAACATGGCATTTTATGTTAGATTATTTTCTATGACAGTTATTGAATATTAGATGATTGTGTTAGTTTTTTTCTTATTGATAAGCATCATTATGGTTTTTAGAATTCCTAATTTTAGAAAATTAATCTGCAATTTAGAAATTCTGAAACATTTTTAACTGAGCATCACATATCAAAAGTAACAAGAAACACTTTTTCCCCTCATTCACTTTAATTAATATAAGTAAACTCTATTCATACAATATAAAAAAATATTCATAATTCCTTGCATTTCCAGAAATAGGAGCATTTACATTCACCAAAATTTAATAATAATTAAAAAATAATAATTGAATATGTTAGAAACCTCTCTTCTTAAATGAGAATTGAAGTGTCTCATAAATGTTACAATTTTATATTGAAAAATTGAATTACCTTTTATTAGGATCAGAAAGAATATCCAATAAATGCTTCATCTTGCTTAATTCTTTTTTACGTTCTAAAATAGTTTCATAATCAGAGTTTTTATTTTTAGTTAAGATAAGCATAATAATAAATCTTTAAACATATATTAATAATTAAATAAAATATTTTAAAAATATCTATTATAATATCAAAAGATCTTTAATTTGTTAAAAAGCATATACAGTAGAACCTCGCATAACGAGTGTTTCACATAACAAGCAAAACAAATTGTAAAAAATTGCCTTGCTTAACTAGCGATGTTTCGCATAATGAGTGACAAATAGAGGGAAAGTCTCAAATTGTGCGCATGCTCCAGCAATCTGTGTTCAGCATGCATTCCTCTAGCATCTTAGTGTCTCATGTGATCACACATTTTTCCAAACTTGTGATCACACAAATTACTTTTAAACATCAACAACCATAGCCCGTTATATAATAAACACGCCAAATGGTATACCAAATTCTTGGGCTATGTACAGGCTATAATTAATTATTAAGAATTAATTAATTTGACTATAGGTAGACAGTTATGCTGCCATCTCATATTAAATTTAATGACCAATTCCAAATTAAATTTTAGAAATATCGTAATTAAAAATTAACTATTTATAATTATTAAATTTAATACGAGATGGAAGCATAATTGAATACTTCTAGTGAAATTAATTAATTTCTAATATTTAATTATAGCTTTTACATAGCCCAAGAATTTGGCATATCGTTTGGAGTGTTTATCAAACATATTATCAATGATTTTTTTGTTTTCTGCAAATCAAATTCTCATTCCAGGTTGGTTCATTCTGTGCTAGAAGAAATAATGATGATGATTCATGCTCCTTAACAATGCACGTTGTACAATTTTCTTTGAATAAACATTATACATAAAATATTTTAGTATTTTTGCGGCACAGAACACATTATCATATTTTACATTAATTTCTATGGGAAAAATTGTTTCGCTTAACGAGTGTTTTGCATTACAAGTACGATTCTGGAATGAATTATGCTCATTAAGTGAGGTTCCACTGTAATACCAAAATTTTCTCAAATATATAATTCAAATTCCTTAAAGAATGTTTAAAGACCAATAACAACTTTGAAATAATCAGAAAATGTTATTTTATTAAAATTTAAATCTATT